AAAAAAAAAAAAAAAAATTACCTTTAAGAAAATTGTACAGCAACGGTACAAACTATTTAACATTTAAAATAAATCCAGTGATTTTCGTACTTTTACTATCTCACACTGTCTGTTCCTGCAAACTACGGGAAAAGAGAAAAATATTCCAGACCGAATTGAATACGAACAGTCGGACAAAACACCCATGGAGGTCCACTCATCTTCCGGGGTGCCGTTCCATAAGATTTTACAGTGCTCCGCCAATGCGTACGCCAGAGAGTTAACGAGGCTTGGCCTACACGACACGCTCTGAACAATCTAGCGAAAAAGAAAGAGAAGAGAGAAAGACATTTAATTTCGTTTCACGTCGTTCGCGATAAGAACAATTACACAGCTTCGCGTTCTCTGACAATCGTTCGATCCAACTATAGAAAGTTTACAACTTTCTATAGAATTCGTATCTGAAGAGTTTGAAACTTCAGGAGGGAAGCTCGAAAGCGAAGCGCCAAATACAATAGAGATACCTTTTCATACGCGTGAGTATATAATACCAAATCGTCTCTGTGTGAACATTTTCCACGTTAAACGTTTCATTTATTACAACGTAAAGGACAGAGGATAGAGCAGAGAACGTAGAGAAAAAGGCGAGGTACCTAGAAACGAAGACACAACTGCAAAAGTTGGCAAATTAATCTTTTCAACGCGTTTTTTCTGAAATTAAAAATTTGTTCGACTCATGGACGCTAGAAACGTTAGCGCCGCGTAGCGGTGAGATGGTGGAACTAAAATCTATCGCTGTCCTTGTCGCACGCTATCGCGCTCCTTGTCTACGGATGGTGCTGCCATCTAGGCCCCCTCATTTTCAACTGGAACTAAAAGCAGAAAAAGAAAAAATCCGATAGATGGCAGCGCCTGGCTCGTTCATTGACGAGGAGGGCAACAATGTGGAACAAGGACAGATGTATGTCACGCGGCAAAGGCACTTTTGCAATGAGCAGAATAAGATGAATAAATAAATAAACAATAAAAAGAATTTTTTGAAACAAATCTCAAGAACTTCTTTTCTCACTAAATCTCCATTGAAGACGTAGAATCCACTTCTAACCCTCACGACAAAACAATATTTTTTGCACCTTGTACGTACAATATATTACGTTTTTTTGGCTGTAACTTTATAGAACAAACTTTGGTTTGAGGTAATTCAGAGTATTCCGATTGAAAGAAATTAAAGTTTAAGCGTTATTTGCAATGAAAATTACATATGCTTTACTACATGGTATTAATATACTACTCTAGTGTAGTATAAAGGGAAGAGAAGGTCTTACACATGGGAGAACGTCACTGATCCAAACTTTCAAAGCATCAGGCAAAGGTTTCCCACTAGTGAGATGGATATATCTGCAATCTGGGAAACTATGCGAACCGTTCGAGCCCCAGATTATTATATTTTTTATTTCTGCTGGCAGACACTTTATTCGTGCAGCAATCTGAAAGAGATATAATCTGGTTATTTGTAAAGGATCGATGCAAATATTAAACAATCTGATGAATTAAATTGTTGGCTCAACGTTAAAATTGCATCAGGATACCGAGAGGTACCTGTGCTGTGACAATATTTAAATTCAACAAAGACAATGTAGTTATGTTGCCGATAGGAATAGATTTCACATATTTGGATATGATTGTGGCAGCAGTATTTCCAAGCACAATGATTTTTGCATCCCTTTTCACATACCTCTCTATAACTTCACCCTGCAGATAGTACAAAAGAATTTATAAATACTCGATACTTGAATGCTACATTTGACGTAGACTCTGAGATAATCAATGTACGTAAAACTTGGAAATCAAAACGTGTTCTTCAAAAAATGGCTCCAGGTATTCATTATCCTTAAAGTCATACTCCCTTGCGTGACCAATACAAATTACAACATCTGCATTCTTGAATTCAATGGAAGCATCGTGACCGTAACTAATGCCTATTCATACTCAAATATCTTAATAATTACTATTTTGCATAATTGTAACTAAGGCATTGAACAAAATTGAACAGAAATAAATCATCTGTTCATCAATCTAGTTACATAAATAACCAATTTTTGTATATACGTACAATTTTTATATACCTATTTTATTTATTATTTTAAACAGACAGTTGCTACTGAATAATCAAACAACATATGGCAAATAGTCTGTGTGCGGATGATTATACATTTATGTAAGATTTAAGAGCACAAAGAATGCATGTAATGTCCAAAAATGTGCAAGATATAATGGCACTTTTTATAGGTAACATTCACATAAGTAAGTATCCGTAGTCTAGTCATAAAAATATAACGGTGCATGGATGTTTACCACTTAAAAGTTTGGGGCTAAAAGAAGTGAGTTCGATCGCCACGCTCTCCAAAAAGATCGCCTTATTTTTCAATTCATAGAGGCTTATAAAGACAGATTGATTTTCACCAAACACGTTATCATTCAACGTTCTATATAGAAACGAACGTGCAAGTTCTGTCGTGCCGTCTGTAACGACTATTTTCAAAGCATCCTCTTTATTACTTCCCAAACGATTGCCCCAAAGTACGGATTGGTTACTGTTTAAACGTATCTTTTCACTCTTCGCCATTTTATTGCAAACTCATATTCTCATATTCCATTTTATCGTTTCGATCATCGTATCGAACGAACGTCGACGTATATTGT